ACCTGAACCAATGACTTGGTGGTGTCCCTGAAAAGGACGTCAAGGCTTTCTGTTCTACCTCCTCCATGTACAGGTAGTTTAACGTAGTTTAATATATTGTGTGTTTGTTTTCACAGGATTTTTTTGTAATTGAGCTCATTTTTTGTCTCGTTTTTTCACGTTTGTCCTTTTTTCTTGATGTTTTGTGTCTTTGGGCTCATTTTAGTTGCATTGATTTCATCTTTCTGACATTTTTGTTTGTAAAACTTGTGGATTTGTTTGTTTTGTATGTTTTATTGAACCGCCGCATCATTTTTTTTTGTCTTTTTAATGTTTTGTGCTTCTGGTTCTGTTGATTCTCTCGTCTCGTTCACTTTGTTCCGTCTGGGTCATTTTGAAACGTTTGTTTTCAGGTCTGTAAGCAGCTCCTTCATCACATTCTGTTTTGTTGAGTCCTTTTCTTCGCTGACGTTCAGTTAAACCTCTGAACCTCGACTGAGTGATTAATCACTGCTGACGGGGGGGTCAAAGGTCAGCCGCATGTTATCAAAGCTCTCGTTGTGCCGAGCCGCTCTCAGAACAATGCTGTGGGCCGGGGAGTCGTGGGCCGAGCGCTCAGATTCACCACCACAAGTGAACGCAGCGTGGGCAGACCGGCTGACCTGAGGTCAGCTCACTGGAAGCGTGGGCCGGGTCCACAGGAACTAACACACGGGTTCTGCAGCAGCTGACCTCAGGGACCGCTCGACACAGACAGAGGCTGGTAAACCCGGTCCTGTTTGGATCTGCAGCTCTGACTTCAGAACCATCATCAGAGTTTAAACGTGTCACAGGAAGTTGGACTTTAACGCTGTTTTCACTTTTAGAACTTTTTTACACGATCACAGCTGAACGTGGAGGATTCGACTGATTTGAACACAACCCTTCCTGTCCTCCTCCTGTCTTCAGTCTTTCTGTCTCCGTCCCCTCAGAGCGTCTCTGCTGGAGCACTGGTGTCCTCTCAGAGGTCAAAGGTCATACACCCAAGCCCCCACTGACTTCCACTGTATCTGAGCGTCAAACAGGAAGTGAAGGCTCTGTTTAACTTCTGCTCCATCAAACCCTGCAGAGCCATGAAACAGAACCTGTGGAACCATCAGAACCTTCTGCTGCTCACGGTTCAAGAAGTTTTTGATCCAACTTCTAGTTTTCACACAGACTGTTCGTCTCTGACGCCTGTCCTCAGGTCTGTTAATGAGCCGTTCACGTCCCGTCGTGTAACTCGTGTCTCGGTGAACGGCAGAAGATTTAACAGAAACTGGACCGACCCACTTCTTCTCACAGGAGAATCCAGTCTGACTCAAAGCTCTCACCGTTGAACAATGAAAGCACCAGACTGAGAGGACCTGTGGATGGTCGGACGTCAGCAGCTGTCACTCAGGACGACGTAACGTCGACTGTTCCATCTCCCTGAACGACCTCAAACTACAGCCAAACACTTGGTGGTAGTTAGTTTTTCTTGCTTGCCCTCGGTGAAGGCAGGCACCTCTTTCCTCCGCTCCGGCCGGCTCTGCTCTTTGTCCTGTGAACCTTTTTCAGAGCCTCGTTCTGCATATCTTCTGAACTGTAAACTATGGACTGATCAGCTGGTCTTTCAACTCGATCAAACTTTCAACAAGCAGACAGGGTGAAGGAGAGCCCTCTTACCTCGACAGAACATTATTCCTGGGGGATGTACCTAACTGGATTTAAGACAACAGAGTTCTGCTTTTTGGAG